TTCGTTTAACCAAGACAAAAATGCGGCATATTGGGACTTTAAGTTTTACGGATTTTCCCATATGCTGCTGACCGGCAGGCAAAACTTAATATTTCAACTGGAATAGAAGTATAAACTAATACAAAACTGGCGCATGCAACATTTTTAACGTTTGTGTTGGAGTTCAATTATATTTTTAGTATTTATGCCGAACAAATATTAGTTTCGCAAACGTTATTTGAGTTTCTCATACGAATATTTAGGTTGTTTCTAGAAATTGGCACATTTATTAAGGAACAGGCGAAACTATTTTCTCTTTATGGATGTCCACAAACAGACAAAACTTTTCGGTAAAAACACATTATTTTTCAATACTGAATTTAAAGATCATCACGAATTCGTGTCCTTCTCAGGGGCAATAATTTTAAGTTCTAAGCTAACTCTGTTTCTTTCTGCTCCGTTCCGTTCGGTTTCAGTGGGTGTTTTCCATTGCGTTTTGCGAACAAATTCAATTGCAGCACGTGTCGTTGGCCATGTACACAAAGATATGTGAGTGCTTGTCTACATATATGTGTATATATTGCACCTATATGTGCACTGAGAAAAAACAAGTTATATTGACGTAAATAAGCGAACCGAGTAGTATAGAAATATTAAGATGAATATGGAAATAGGTAAATATTTAAGTAATATACAAATAGTAACTGAGACCTCTGTCAGTTCAGCTCGATTTTTTTGTAACCTTGCCGCTTTTATCTTTTTTTTAATAATTCATTCGAAGGAAACGCTTTTTTATTATTCACCATGTAAAAACACAAGTCTTGATTACCAATATTATTTCCAGTGCATGCGTAAGCCTCTGGAGTGTGTGAGTATGTTAAAAGCAACTGACGCCAGCAGTTTTGGGCATTGGACAGCCCACGCCCACTTTACCGAGTTTATATTTGTGCGGAAGAAATGTCGCTGGAGTGCAAAAAATGCAAGGCACAACAAACTTGTTTGTCAACCTTCCAGTGGGTGGCAGTGGGCGGTGGGCGGTGGGCAGGGGGTCGGTGTTTTAGAGGGCGATGATTGAGGGTGGCTGAAGTGTTGGCAAAGACCCTCACGTAGTTGACGGTGGCCACGAAAAAGTTGCATAAAGTCAACAACTTTCAGTGGTTTAGTGATGTGAAAGTTGTTAAGCTCGAGAAATGTGGCCCTTGTCTTCACTTTGCCCACCCCGCCTGAGCAAGAAGGTCAATTACACGAAGAACTTGAGTTAAAAGGCGTGAGAATACACAAAACTGGACAAGGGATAAGTTTGGTCAACTGGCGAGATTTTCCTAAAAGACGGCAGCATTTTGGGCACCATTATTAAATTTAGATTTTTCAAGTGCCAAACATGTTGGCGATAATATTACATTTTCGTTTTTCAAGCAAACATGAGAAAAACTGACAATTTAATTGTATTTCCATTGCATCTAATCCATTGTGATGGGCGGGCAACCGACGCTGTCTGGCCAATATCAATCAAAAGTTGGCCACGCCAAATGCCATAAAACTCTGCAGCTTATCAACGGCTTAAATGGGGCAGGGTGCTCTACTCGACGTATAGAAAAAGTACACAATCAGCAAAATTAGCGCAATTTGCGCCACAATTGCAATGGCGAAGGGCTGCAATTTATTTAAATACAACGGCATGTGCACCCGTCAAAGCTAACAATGTTGGCCATGGCAACAGCCGAAGGCACATGAGAAATCCAGCGCGGTTTTGAGTGAAATAAAATTTAATGCCATCAACAGGCGTGGAAAGGAGCAGTGTGGATGGGCACGGACCACGGGCCACGGGGCACGGGGCTCGGGGCATGCGGCATGTGGCATGGAGTGGTAAAAATGTTTGCGGCGCATAAACAAGAATTGTTGCCACAGAGCGCCGGGTAACACGCTAAACCATTAACTAAACAGCTGAAAATAAAACAAAAGCGGTCATAGCAGTGCAATCGAGTGAAAAGTCGCAGGGTGAATGCCCTTTGGCGGTAAAAAGTTCGATATCTCTCTTTAAAAAGCTGTTGGAATGACCAAAAGAAATTATGAATATAGAAAAGTCATATATTAAAAAGGATTTTCTAAGTAACTTTTAAGTAAAAAAAAATTATTATTTGATATTTTTGTTTTTCTAAATGAGAAATAATATTTGTCTAATCCTAAATTGTAATTGAAATTTTTTAATATGCATAAAGCATTATATTTTTTAGGCTTACAAATAAATTGTGTATTACAAATATGTAAATTTTTCGTGGTAAGAAATACACTAATTTAGTAATTTGATAAAAGATAACTATTTAATAAGTAAGACACTAATGAGCTGGTATTAAAATTGTAGCTGCATGCTGATGTAAAGGTAAGCTAAGCTTAACTATAACTATAACTGGTGCAAAATTAGTTTTATGCTAATAATTTGGAAAGCTTCACCAGCAGACCGCTGTCTAATTTAGTTGTTACCCGATGGGGACTTAACACAAAACCCATCCTCAAAAACAATTAAACCTGGAAAGCTTCGTCCGCGTTACGAAATTTCGCGCTGAATTTTCCGAGGGGAAGGAATGCACTCACACCCACGCATGTGCAGGAGCAATAAAAATAGCTGTAACCGAAAAATAGCGGCACTTAATAATATAAGCGTGTGGCAGGACCACACAAGCACACCCCATCACACACCAACACACACGCACGGTAGTCGTCGGTTCAACCCTCATGCTGTCAATGCATAAAACAATTTTCCACGGAAATTGCAGTAATTAACTTTAGTACCTGCTTGAGTGACATTGTGAAATTGTCTGCATGTATGGGTGTGTGTGTGTGTATGCGTATGCTGATGCTGAAGAGTGTATGAGTGTGCGGATGTTGTGGGCCAAAAACAGGATGCTCGTTTGAGTGTGTTTGCATCTGTGGGCCTGTCTATCTGTGTTTGAAATGCACTAGGCAAATTATTAAATAAATATATTTTTTTTAATTTATAACACTGTATTCCATGAATTAAGCTTTGTGGAATTAATATCGTTGGAATACATGAGTATTTTTTCATTTTGTTGAAATAGCAAAAAAGGCTCGTAAATTTGTACAGTGCTGCCAAACTCTCTTCACTATGTTTTTCTAATTCAATTAAAATTGGCAGCTACATCGGGCAACACACATCCGGCAACAAACAAACAAACATCCAGACCGTTGCAATGGCGACTCATTAGGAGGTCTGCATATGCAATTGAACACACAACACTCGCTCACACACACACGTTAAATTCCCAATTGCACACCAACACCACCCTCCTCCCGTGTAAGCATATGTTTACGCTTGTATTGGTGTTAATGTTAACTGTCACTACATTTGCCTGCAGCCTTTTTGGCTTTGCCCACCACCACCCCCCAACCCCTAGGTTTTTAACTGGGCTGACTGGTCTTGTTTTTTTTTTTTTTGTTGTGTTATGCAACTGTAAAAACATGTCAAACCAGCATGAGTGCATGTGCACATACATATGTATGTGTGCATGCGTACGAGTGTGTTCGTGTGAGTGTCCTTTAGGCCGCATTTCAGCTTTTTCGCCAGCATGAGTGAGCTGCTCTGATCGCTGGACTTTATAAATAATACAGCAGCAAAAATCCGGCACTTTATAACATCAATACTCTCAATAAAACCAATTGATCTGAGTTTGAACAAACTACGTTTGGTTTACGTTTAGACAAAGTTTTCGCTCATGCATTTAATCAATATTTATTTCAAATTGACTCTTATAACCATGTACTCGTAGAGTAAAAGGCTAAACTAGATTCGTGTAAACGTATTAGATGAAGAAACTGGATTTTGAAACTGCGCAATTGTTTAATGGCATACACAATCATTATGTTGATATATCACATTTCAAAACAAATGTGTAATGTCAACTTAGGATAGGTTTTACTTAATTGTCAGCTTCTAGTCATATGGAAAGCCAAGCGACGGCTTTCAGTAAATATAAACTGGTTTTCAGGCTCCTATTTATGACCCGAATTTCAGTCCAACTGAGTGAGTGAGCAATTAAAGCCACACATATAATTTTCGAATTACGAGCCCACAGAAGTTATAAGCAGCAATTTATTCAAGTATGCATAATAAGCCCACGCACACACAAAGTTTCTTTTGCTTGAGTTATTGTCAGAACTATCCCTAATGTCTCATGCATAATTGTATAGAAATTCTGTTCTAGTTTTAGTTTTTGCCTGCCTCCCCCACCGATTATCCTGGCTAAGCCTTCAAAGTTCCTTTAAATTGCCCATTCGTGAAGTGTTTACGCTGCTGCCTGTGTGTGTTCGTTTGATTAATGAAGATTAATAACGAGGAAAATTGTTACCGATCTGCAAAAGGTTGCTCTGAAGTGCTTTGAGTTTTGGGCCTGACAGTTTATGTGCTTGAGTGGATTTTGGCAAAAATTTTATAGTCAATGATAGGATTTAATGAAGCGATTAGAACATGTGAGCGAACTAAACGAATCAACTGTGGCATAAATGCTCAACTATTTAACAAGTGAATTACTGCATCCATTTATGTGCTTGTAATTTTAAAAATGATTTCTCATTGCTAAAACCATTATTCGTCACACAATTCATACTGAGCGTATAATTGAAATATCGTGACTCGGCGTTGCCTTCGCACATAAAATGTTATTAAAAAGCAAGGAACCAGAAGAGCGAGCATAATGTGAAAACTAGACGTTGTGGCCATTAAAAAATCGCTTAAAATTTATGACAGCACTTGCGGCGTTTCGCGTTTAATTTATTTTTTATTTATATTTCTTTTTCTATTGTTCTATTTTCAAACTTTGCGTGCCGCAATAATTTTAAACTGCCATTGTTTTCTTGGCAAAGGTTCGACAAAGGCGAACTATTGTGGACAAAGCATTTTTGATACTCAGTCGAATGAAAGTAGGACTCATAGTACGCACCTTTTCGACCTTTTTTCTCCCATTTAAATGGATAAAATTTAAAATATAAAATTTAAACACATATATTTTCACAAGGGAGCTTACCACGCTGCATTATACGCTTATTATATAAAAATAAATCATTGGTTTTGAGTTAGAAACAGTGCAGCTGCCGCGAAATGAAGTTCTTCATTCTGATTTCTGTATTATTGGTCTGTCAAGGGTCCACGGAAGAGGAGGAAAACATAATAGGCGGTTCGTTTTCGGCCATAAATGTAGAATTAAATTGCAAAAGCTTGTAACTTTCAGAGCTGTGCTTCAAGCCAAATGGTGGACCACCTTGCCAGAAATTAAAAACATATTATTGGGACAAGGCAAAGAATCAATGCGTACCAGCCCGATATTTATTGGAGCCTTGTGGATTCTTTCACGTGATGGACGTGTGCGATAAAATATGCGCCAAGGAATCGTGGACCTTATCCCTTTTGGAATTACATGTTCGAAAGTTGCCATAAAATATACTGGGTTTTCTAATGCCAATTCTTATAGTTGACCTTTACATTTTGGTCACGGTTTTCAACCATTAAGACTTCATTTATGGTGGCTTTCGCTGTATTTTCGATTCAGTTAGCAGTGAAATGAAGGTCCAAAGGGTTTGCTTTGTACTGGCCCTGTCTTTCTTCCCATGGGACTCAACTTACGCTTCAGGTCCAGTTTACCAGAGTAAGAGACTTTTTAGAATGTTAAATACAAAAATATCTGAAATGTTTTCAAAGCTGTTTGCAGGCGGACAGGTGGCTCAATAAGTTGTTATCAAGACGGCACTTGGAGCTACAACGAGCGTACTCATAAATGTTATCGTGTCCAAAAGAATAAGGAGCCATGTGGCTTTTTCGATGGCGAAAAGGGTTGCAAGGACTTCTGCTTGAAGAACACTGGATAAATCAGAATGAGCAGTCCTTTCCGAAATATGCATTATCTTTACTTTGTACAACTCTGCTAACTGTTGTTGATAATAATCTATAGCCGTGGAAATTACATTTTCAATGGCTATCACATTAAGTCGTGTAACATTCCCAGAATCTATAGTAATACAATGGCGTTCTCTGTGACTTCAGCTGTTTCTATGTGTACCTTAAATTTATTGTATGTACTGCTTTTTAATATGATGTTTAAAGATGTCGTCTCAATCAGACCCAGTAAGTTCAATTAGTGATCTTCCTAAATTTTGCTTCCAAAATTTTCCCGAATATTAAAAGCGCTTTGCAGGCGGCAGGAAGTAGAAAACCATTGCGTCGAGGAAAATACTTGGGTATTCGACATAAATTCTCAAACTTGCGATCCCGTGATTCCTAACAAGGAACCCTGCGGGCTCTTTATTAGCGAAAAGGCTTGCAAGGAGGTCTGCCTTAAAAAAAATTCAACAATAGTTTTGGACTTAACGACTTTGGAAAAGCCAAGAACCAAAGGAAGGATCTACAAATAACACTCGTTCTTTTTATGAAATCGGCAATTTATATTGAATATTTGGAAACAAAAGAATACAAAAGGATGCTGTTATAAAATAACACTGTCAAATTTTTATTCATTTTATTTAAGCATTTTATACCCATTAGTCGTAGAGTTAGAGAGTATTATAGATGCGATGATAAGTTTGTCACAGGAAGAAGAAAGTGTTTCTGACCCTGTAAATTACTTATATTCTTCATCTGGATCACTAGCCGAGTTGATCTGACCATGTCCACCTGTCCGGCTGATCAAAGGGTATCTGATAGGCGGGTATCTCCTGCATAAATTCGAATTTGCAGTTGTTTGCATGCTCACCTGAAAATGTAAATAAAATAATAAGTCTTGAAACCGAAGACATTAAAGGTTTTTCTCGCCTTTAAAAGCAACAGACGTGTCGTTTGGAGCGTAAACAAGAATTGCTGTCGGCATGAACTTACTGGTTTTTCCTTCGTTTATTTTGCCGGCTGTATGAAGTTCATCAGGCAGCTCCAGTGGAGCATGTGTCCTTGGACGACCATTGTCCTTTGGTTTGTTTGTTGTCTGGTTTGCAACTGCCGCTAATGAAACATACTTCTGGCACTTTATTTCATTTGCTCTCTCGCCTCGCCCTAACAATCTCAGCCGCATCCATCCCCATTTTACTCCCCTCGCAGTATTTAGCTCATTTTCGCAGGCTTGGCTCAAGTTTTTGTGTCCTTGGTTTTATTAGATTTTATTTGCACAGTCTTTATTTGTCTTCTGACGTCGTCTTCTTTCTTGCCAGCATTAAGTGTCCAATTTTAGTTCGGGGCTTCCACTCGCCGTGGTATTTTTAGGTGATAATATTTTGGGTTTCCTCAGTTAAGGGTGATAATATTGTATACCTCTTAGTGAAAGAAATAACCAAAAATTAAAGTCCTTTTAATATGTTTTTGAATCATCTGAATATCAATACATTTGAATAGGCACGTATTTGCATTTTGCTGGGAAACTCTGAATACGATTCAACTAAGAATTTTTGTGTATGAACCTAAACGAAAATATGTCATGGACTGTATTTTTTGGGATTTCAAAGTGTTGCAAAATCTAAAGGGTAGTAAAATGACAGAGTCCGAGCTTGGATTACTTCTTTTACTTTTGGTCGGTTTTCTTTTGTGCTCGGCTTTCGCTTGCCACAGCAGAATCCTTGCTCCTGGATGCCGCTTCTGTTCTATTTGCTTTGGCCTTTTGTTAGTTTGTTTTGAGCAGCAAACTTTGCTCAGCCAGCTGGCCACATATGCCCCAGGATCCTCATTGGGCTCCTTTTCGTTTTTTACACACATTTCAGTTTTTTTATTTTAGCACATTCGTCAAGTTTGTAAACACAAATTATGACAATTAAGTTGACTGTTGACTTGTTTGAGTTCGTCGTCTGCAAACTTTGCTTGCAATTTAAAAACTCCCCAAATTGCATTAAATTCCTGCCGAAACCGTTGACGGAAAATTCAATTAGGCGGGCAGGGCCCGAAAAAATGTCACCCGTTTGACATTCCAGATCGAGTTTAATTTTCGTTTTAATCTTCGTGCATTTGCAGTGCACAAAGTTTCCGGGGGCTGCCAATGGCACAAGTGGCACAGGAGGCACGAGGCACTGGAGTGTCGGAGCTCACGCAGAGTTCGTCCTGGGGGCAAGGAGGTGTTAAAGGTGGCCTGCAGCCACAATTGTTCATTAGATTAGCAAGTTGCAAAAGCAAAAGTTTGCAGCCTGGCTCAAATGCCACTTTCACGGCTGCTGACACACTTGAGTCGGATTGCGTTTTCCGAATTTGGCCCGACCTTTTCCATTTCCATTTCCCCATCTCCATCCCCATCCCCATCCACTTCCTTTTTCTTTTTGCGATTCGAGGAAATTTTATGAATTTTCTTATCAATTCAAAAGGCGAGAAACGACAGAAATTTACGTGCTCAAAGTGGCAAGTTGTCACAGCGACAAGCCAATCTATATATGTATGTATGTATGTGTTAGCCAACTTTTCGGCTCTTTTCGCCCTCATTGCTGCACCACCACATCCACATCCACATAGCTGTCTCAATTTGTCATTGAAGTTGCCACTGCGCTGCCGATAAGAAAGTTTTCACTTGATATAAGCAAATGCGGCTATTGATGCTAAATGTTGGCAGTTACTCTTCTCCCTTGACTCTGCTTTGTTTTCGCGATTTGAATTGAATTTCAACGTATTTTTTAAAGTCTTCTTGACGGATTTTTCCTCAACGAGAAGAAAACACAAATGATTTGCGATTGAAAAATGAAAGTGCTTTGTCATCATTTGCCCAAGCACTTTGCCAATTAAACTTATCTGTAATTGCCTTAAAGTTTGAATTGAGTTTTTCAGTGTTTGGAGCAATTTTTGCCAGCTGCAAACCCAGACTAAATTAAATTCATTAGATAGACTTGTTTGTTAATAAAATAATTATAATTGGTCAGTTACTGTCTGGATTTTGATAGATATGTGCCCACTAAGCTTTATTTAAATATACATTATATTAAATGGCACGTAAATGTGGTAACGAATTAAATGTTTAAAATGCGTGTGCCCATAACCACAAGCATATAATATTTTTAATGGAATTTGCTAAACTATGGCTATTCAAATATCCCTGAAAATAAGTGCAAACGCTTTGTCACCATTTAGGCCAACAATTAAACTTATCAGAGTTTTCGCTTTATCTGAATTAAGTTCACACGTGGAGGACACGCCACTCCCGGCCAACGGGAGTGCGAAAAATGCCCAGTGGGAGAAGTGATGGCAGGAAAATGGAAAATGGAAAATGTTTGCCACCAAAAAGAGCCGCAGACCGAAGACCGAAGTGCGTAAGGCAACACTCCAGTGGTGGCGCGTGTTACATAATTAAAAAGATGGCTTGAGGTGGCAAGAGCGTGAAAATAAAGCGAGAGACAAACTATAAAATAAACCAAATATCACTGGGAGCGGCACACTCGAGCGCATAAAAGAGTTTTTATTACCACGTCCTGGGGCAAGGTAATCCTAGTCCTGCGTGGCCCCCAACCTGAGTAATAGCCAGTGCGGCTCATTGTCCTTTTCCGGCAATAATTCCGCATTTACCCCCAGCACGGTGGCAACCTAACACGTTTGTTCTGCTGGATGCCCGGCTAAATTAGCTGTGACAGCCGCGTGGCATAGGCGGCGGGTCCTTGCCATGTCCTTCGTCCTTCGTCCTGCGTGGCTGCGTAAAGGACTCTGCGGCGGCTTGAGACATACCTGAGGCGACTCGTTGCGACCACGTTATCATTTATAATGAGTTAATTACATTTAATACGCATGTACAATGGCCTGTTGAACATGGCGCACAATTAAATGTGACCCTGGCCAAAGGAGCGTCGCTGGCGATAACAACAAAGGATAACGTGGCCATATTTCGAATGCTGCGAGTGTATGTGGTTGACTGTTGGAGTGTGTGTGTGTGTGTGTGAGCTTAACGCTTTAAGCAGTCATTGCACTTAATGGCTGCTTTGAGGTTTATTAGCTGCTGATTGTAAGCGTAATTACAACTGCCTAGCATGCTCGCATAGTGCGAGCCTGCAAACCATTTAATTATTTTGTTCCCTCACGCACTTCGCATATAAAAAGTATTAAATAAACATTTATTAATATATATTGATATGGATTTAAAAAATATAAAAATGTAAATCGATTCCCTTAACTTGAAATGTAAATGTAAATTACACTTCCATAAGTTCATTGGTTTTATTTACATAAGATTTGGAAGTTTATGCGCCTGCATTCGTCATAATTTGTTTGCTAGACTCGGAAAAACTTGTCGGTAACTAAAACAATATGCCATTTATCAAAACCCCATTTTTCATATCAGCAGACCGATGGAGCGGGCGAACTAAAAACATTTATCAACACCCAGCCCCCCGCGGAAAAACTCCCCTTTGTGGTGCATACATTCGGCAGCTGCCATCGGCCATATTACGTATACGTGACGGCGACTCGAAATGGAAAATCCATTTCCAACGCCTCTTGGCGACGAATTCTTTGCAGACATCTAAGCATTTAACAATTTGCGACCACGCCCACCCGCACTCCCACTTTTTGGCTGCCAGCCATTGCATTTCTCCGAAAACTAAAAAGAGAACCAAAAAATTATTTTATACCACAATTTTGTGGTTCGGTTTTCCTTGCTTTTCCTCCTTTTTTTCCTTCAGCAAATAAAAATTTTGCTTTGTGCCTCCTGTTGTGCCTCGTGTCCAGGCTCGTGCAACTGACAGCTGCAAAATTTGTGCGCTCTTGTTCATTTGTTTGACTGCCCATTGTCGTGTGCGTGTGTGTGTGGGGTATGCGCTTGTTTGTTGTTATACCAAAAATTGAACACACAAAGCAATTGCTATGCAACATTTGTGCAGACATGGCCCAGAGTTCCCAAAAAAAACCCAAACACCGAAAAAAAAACCAAATAAAATTGCTGTACAATTGAACGAGTACAAAGGCCATTCATGTATGTGTCTGTGAGTGCACGAACGTTTAATAGTTTTATTGCTGGCCACAAGCGTTTTTGATACTCAGTAATCAAGGTCTTACATAGAATATGTGATTGCCTATAGAAAGCAAAAGCACTCCAAGAAACTTAAAACAAGACCACGAAATTGTTCTAATAATAATTTGCTTTCATTATTCTATAAAAATAGTAATAACTGAAAAAATGTTGGCCTTTAGTTATTTAAATAACAAAAAGCTTTAGATAATAAAAATGGCTGCAATAAATAAAAAAAGGGCTACAGGTTACCCTTTTTCAGTTCAACGCGGAATAGGTATTTCTGTAACGACTCTTTTCAGCCAAAGTAAATTTTGATGGAAGCATTTTTGGCCAGCACATTCGTTAGTTGTCATGTCAGTGGTCAATTGTTTATTGTTAACATGGTCAATCCAGCGCCGCCCATCCGCCAGCCATGTGGCCTGCTACTCCCATATATATTTCACAAAATATCAAATTACTTGGCTTTCCTTTGATGCGGCTCCAGAATGTATATCTTGAGCAATTTGCGGCTTTGGCTCGCCTGTCAGCACAGTGCCCATTCAGAGTCGAATTAATCCATTTTCAGCTGTCTGTCAGGGGACTCAGATGACAGACGGAAATGGAGACTCCGCTCCAAAGACTAGGAACCTTAACGTTTTAAGACCACCGAAGTGCAGATGCAGCTGCAGTGCAGTTCTGGCTAATTAGGAATTAGATTTCGGCACGGTCTCGGACGAATGTGCGTCAAGTGCTAGAATGGGTAATGCACTTTACTGCTCCCACTGACAGTCGAAAAGGAAGCTGGCCGCTCACTCGTGGGCGGTGGATGGTGGGTAAATTTTATGGTTTCACAAAGGACAGGCCACCGCACAGAGATGACCGACTTCATCATCCACAAAGCTGGCGCCTTGGGCGCAAATTTCAATGCGTTTCAAGCATAAAATAAATGTCCACTAAAAATGTCCCTGGCATTGTTGTTGCTGCCCTGGGGGCGTGGCAGCGTAGGGGGCGGACGGCAGGAGGGCGCACAAAAAGAGGGCGGTGGTGTGAGTTTTGCGGCGATTTGTACACATGAAACAATATAATACATAGGAATTTTCCAATTAAAATGCATATCATTATATTTGATTCTTTAGTATCTGAACGAATATGAAAAATAATTAGATCCATTGATTGAACATTTATTATTAATTTTTGTTTTAATATTTATTTATATTTTATACGCGGATGCTATGTCCATTTAAAACAACTTAACTAATGCAGTTAAGGAAAATAATTTTGGTCATTTGAGTGATAAAATTCGGTGGTTAAGAAAACCATTTACACCATTCTTGCACATCCCATTCTTTTTGTCATCCCTGATAGCAGTTGCTACCAATTTTTCTCTGAGTGCACTCAGTTCTCTACATGTCTCAAGGACATGTTCACAGCTGACTGCCTCGGAGTTCTCGCTGAACTGAACTGAACTGAACTGGACTGGACTGAGCTGGCCCAAATCGCTGCAAGTGCTTTTAAGTCGTTGTCAAATGCAAAGAGCACAATAATTCAAATTTATGACGCGCAATTGTGCCCACACACTTTCCCTGCGCCACCGCGCCCATTTTCCTGGCCATTCCTGCCTGCTGCTCCTCGATTTCGTCCTTTTCGCAGGCACAAGTAAAGGAAAACTTGGAACGTGCGTCCAGCTGAGTGGGCGGTCGCTCGTCAAGGGAATATGTAAATTTAGTGGCCTCGGAGATGGGGAAAGTAAGCGTAAAAATTTTATAATTTGTGGATCTCTCACTGAACAATTATTTTATTTCTTCGTTCGTTTCGGTGCGGTTCGGCTTTGGTACTTTGGTTCTTTGAATTCGAGGATTTGAGAGCTGGGATAGGTGAGGCCGCAAGAAAGTGAAGCTGTTGGAAAATTATCTGCTTTTGATTTACGGACTTTGTTGGACGTGGTCGTAAAATCTGGTAAAGCCCACGCGGGGTAATTTCGTATTCGGTGATTTGGCCGTGGCTTTTGTGGCAAGTGATAATAAAATTGGGACACCAAGAAGTTGATCTAGATTTGGGCTCATGCTTTGATTTTCGATGGTTATAAAAGCTTTAGTACTTGAAGGAAATAAATTGGTAATGCGAACAGAATATTGGGCAAATATTTCATTTATATTGAAGCAACTCAACAAATTGCATATAGTATTTATTTAATTGCTTCTCATAAATCCCGAAATAAATACGATCCTGGTTGGAAACCAAAAAAATAATAAAAGTGCATGGGAAACAATAAAAGTATCATTTAGTTTGGCTTTGCTATTCAATTAGGCGGCCAACGGCTGCATATGTCATAGAAAAACGCACACAAAATTATAAAGAAAACATGCAGAGATGAACAATTAAAAAGCAATATCTATGGTTTCATTTATGGGGCGAGGTAGAAACTATTATTTCGATTTCGGATGTGTTTGCGGATTTATAAACAAATCCCGTTGCAAATCAACGACAACGAACAAATGCAGTTTGATTTACATTTATGCTTTTGCAGCAGGCATAAAAAATCAAACGACATTGCCAGAAAAAAGCACAATATGCAGCAATGCCAAAAGAAACTTTGATAAAACAAAATGCAAATAATTGCGACGGGCAAATAAATTAAAGCAAATTCGAAAGAGCAACTGCCGCAGTTGTTTTGGCACAAAAAATGGAGGCCACACCAAAACCAGCGCAAACATTGATTAATACGAGGCCAAATGCATTAGGCCAGTTCACATAATTTACGGCCAACTGTCTATGCATGCACAAACATTTATTTGTGTAATGTATTTTGCAGCCATATTTATATGCCGATCGCCTGAACTGCCCTTGTTGTTTTCGTTGCATTTATTTCCGATGCTGATGTTGTTGGCGATACGCGGCGTATACGTAATGCGAAATGTTGTATTTTCACAAAGAGTGCAGCGGCAGCAGGGAACTTGACCAGAATGTCAGCTGCACAAACACGGTTAAACCATGGATGCCCCCAGGCCAAAACTCCCGACTAGCAGCTGGGTGGCAGATAATTGATAGGTTTTTTTGTGGCATGCTCGGTTGGGCTTGTTTCAGAAATCGCCAGATTTTTTCGGTCTATTGGTTTGAAAAATCGGTCAATGGCACAAAAGCTTAATTCGGGTTATTAGGGAAGAGAATTTTCCTTAAGGATAACACTTTATGATATAATGATCCCTAAGTAACAAATTGATTTGTATACCGTTTATTGTTGTACTAATATTACCTCTTTAAAAATTTGGATGTTTGGTATATATTTCGCTTTATGTGTTTGTGTGACTAAACAGTTTCAATTCCGATTTCGAATTTCATCGAAAATAACGAATATAAAGATAAGCGCATTTGTATAAAAAATATTATTTCCACAGTCACTATGGTATCCTTAGGGTATTTCAGTGTCCCAACCCAATAGAACCATAAGCTCTTGTTCTCTTAGCCGCCTCTGTTGTTCGGTTTATGGGAAAACAGCATTTGACATGCGGGTTCAAAGCGTTTGCAGCCTGTTTGAATTCCTATTTGCATTGCGTGTGTTTTGCCTGGATCACCTGTCCTACTCCAAAGCACCTAAACATTGCCCAGTGCCCAGTGCCTAGTGCCCAATGTCCAATGTCCAATGTCCATTGCTCGATTGTCAACACGCCGCCGCTCGCGAAAATATTTTTTGGCAGGAGAGCAATGGTGGCGACACCGACCAACGAAATTCCAAAAAGATACGCACAACAAAACGTTCGATTTTGCCAACAAGCAATAGGCAATAAACACAAAACGCAGCCAATTGAGTTCGCATGCAAATATTTGGTAACGCGCACCGGCGAAAAGGTTCCTGGAGCCCAAAGATCCGAGGACTAACGCTCTAAATTGAAATTGAAAATAATTTCGCGCCATTTAACAGTTTTTTTCAGGAAAATCGTTGGCGATTCGTGGAAAGTTTAAATTTGAACGCCGTGTTACTTATACTTATACGAAATTAGATTTAACTTGCTCAAAAATTATTTTGATTATATAATTTCTTTATTCTGCGTATTTAGGGGCCTTTTTTTCGTTGATGCGATCTGTCATACTATTATTATTTAAATTGGCCAGTGTTCAATTTCGCAACTCAATGCCCAATGGACAGTCGGACTGACAACATAATTTCAGCATATGACAACATTTCTAATGAGAAAAAAATCGGACACACACACACGCACACCCACACACACACTAAGCAGAGCAAACTTTCTTTTGCGGATATCAAGCCATTTGCTTTCAGATTGTTTCGAAAATGTGCAGTCAGTCCGTTTGGGAATGGGAATGTGTGCGTGTGCGTGTGCTGACACAAAATGTGTTTTCTGAGTGTGCTTTGCAGTTGTCACTTGCGTGCCCAAAGCAAAACTGTCAAAAAGCATATGCCAAACATTTGTCGTCGGCATACAAAACCCAGAAATGAGCTAGGATACAGAGCGTTGTGTATGCATACGAAATTTATTTTTCCGTGAAAGAACGAAAGATAGAGCGGAATAAACTGAAAATGCTTTAAGATAGTGCGTCCTGCGCCCTGTCTTTCCCCTTTGACCTCTGGTGCCAAGCTCCTAGTCATCATCGCTGACATCCAAAATGGTCTTAAAGGCAAAAGGCTCAAAGGCGTAACCAGCGCCCTCGTAGAACTTGCTCATGAACTCCACCCTGGAAGAACAAAATGACGTTAGAATGCATCTGAAATGCGTGTTCATTATTCGCCTCTCACCAGTGCAAACGCAGTGTGTGCAGGAAGGCCGAGAGTCCTTCGATGAGCACCAGGATGCCGACTGTGAGCAACGCCCAGGCTCCAAAGAATACGTAGATGAGAACGCCGCCAATGTAGCTGTCGTACTTGAATCCCATGGAGAACACCATGTTCCACAGCACTTCGGAGAGCTCTGTAAATAAATATATATTGAAAATAATTCATTTTTAAAAACAAGATTACAAATTGCTCAAACAAACTTTTTATGATTTTCAAAGGTCAAACTTAGAGTAACAAATGCAACTTACGTGCGTGAGCCAATGACAAGGCCCACAATCGGAGGTACGACGCCGTGTGGGAAACCGTACTCAGGACATACTCGATGGTGTGGATGGCCTGGTGGATGAAGATCTCGCCCATGGCGTCGTCCTCACCATGACCCTCGCCTCCACCGCTGGTGGGTTTTGGTGGGGGAGCCCCGTTCATCTTGCGCTTGATCATGATGTACAGCGGTTTTCCCAGAAGCATCCAAGGAATGCAAATGACGGCAATGATCACAAAGACCTGTTGGATGCTCTTCTGACCGTCGAACATGAACTCCTTGCAGGGCTCCGGAGTGTCCTGACTGCCTTGCAGTATCATGTTGATGAACAGGATCAGGATGGACGGAGCACAAGCCGGCGAAAGCGCTCCTTCAACGGTGTCGTTGTAAACGACCCACTTAAAGAACATCATGAAGACCATGTATCCGAACAACAGCAGAAGGAACAGGACTTGGGGCAGGAACTCTAGGAAGATACTTGCGTACTTCTTGTAGTAGACAAAGTTGACCACCGACATGGAGACGCCAAAGATCATGTGGATGACGCCCACAATGATCGACAGCTTCATCTTAAAGGTGTTCAAGAAGATGATCTTGTTGTCGGCCAGTTGCCAAATGGGATCCATGCCGAAGGGATAGGTCTTGTAAACAGTATCGTTTGGCCTCAGCGTGATATACTTGAGGTTTTCGTCCTGAACCACATCCCTCGTATAGTTCATGTGCCAGGCGGACCCGAATATATTCATGGACTTTGAGAACACATCGTTGTAAATGAATCCGGTGTAAATGGAGAAAATGCCCATGAGGAAGATGATGTATCGGCCGCCGAAAAATATGTTGAAGATCTCCTCCTTGATCGAAGCCAGCTGCTTTTCCTTGATGATCAGCCATGAGGCGAAGAGCAGAAGGATTAGGCCGTGTCCCAAGTCACCAAACATCACGGCGAACAGGAAGGGGAATGTGATGCAGGCGTACAGAGCCGGATTCACTTCTCTATAGGAGGCCATGCCATACGAGTCGATCAAGTTCTGGAAGCCATTGGTGAATTTATTGGTTCTCGTGTATGTTGGGGGCATCTCATTCGTCTCGATGACGTTCATGAAAGCCGGTATGGAGCTCTCCGAGATCTTCGAGGCGCGAGCCAGTGCATCCTGGACCGTGGGAATATCGTTGGTGGGCACCCAACCCTCGCCAATCAGGCACTTGCCCGTCACATCGGGATTGAAGAAGTTCAGGATGTGATAGATGGCCTTCATTTTGCGCACCATAATCGACCAGCGTGGCAAATGCTTGGAGGCTGAGTTCAAAACCCGGCTGCGGTGATCGGCACTCTGGCTGAGCACCAACTTGAGGTCCTCCAGACGGACATTCACATCCTTGATCATCTCTGTTCGCTCCGCATGCGAGCTCGGACACGGATACACGGCGGCATGATAGCCCGTGCAGACCTTCTTGATCCGCTGCTTCAGTTGTTCGCCCTGGAAGAAGGCCACGAAGACGGTCTTCAGCACGGGTCTTCCGGTCTCCTCGTCGGCGACAAGGCCATCGATGTCGGCTCTCCGCAGGAAGATGTTTCCCCTGGAAATGCGCCACAGCATGCGCTCGAAACTGAAGTATCTCTCCAGCTTAATAACGCCAGCAACAAAGGCCAGTTGACCCCGCTGGGCGGCTCCTGGCAAGTTTGCAGGGTCCTCTGGGTCGAGTTTTCGGTTGACGTCCAGATTAATGACTTCCTGATCTGAGAAGAAGCCTTCAGTGTTCTCCAGCACGTATTTGAGTTCTTGCATGTGCCGGAAGTTGGCATCCAAACTGGCTCCGTTGGCGGACATTTCGCGCAGTTCATTGTCGGTCTTCTCCAGATGAGCTTCCAGGTCTACGATCTCTCGGGGATTGGGGGCACTGGGCTCCTCTCCCGGTGGCAGTACCGGCAGCGTTACCTCGTCCTTCTTCATCTCGGACTCCACGTACCGGAGGCGCCGCTCCATGTCGTCGCATCTCCTGACCTCGTTGACGTACTTCCGCTGGAAGGCATTGACCTCGTCGTTCAGATCGCGAAACTGGACACATCCACTTTCGCCCAGCTCGGCGATGGAGGCGTATGCCGCCTCCGGCTGGATGAACAGCTGGCACAGGGCCATCTTCTCGCTGCGGAACATGTCACCCATGTTCAAATCGAGGGTTTATTACTGCAAAAAAATAGGAAATTAATTATGTTGATCACTAAACGACAATAGTTAATTATAAATATAGGTTTATTAAAATTGCGTTATTTAGGACAAAATGATCAGTAACGATCTATAATTAATAGAGATCAACATTAAAAGGGCTTAGTTAGCTATTGAACTTTTTTCTTATATGACAGGAAAGGTTTCTAAAATGTTGGTTATTCATGTTCTATATTGGTGTATATTTAAAATAATATACTATTGGCCTTATGACAAGGTGCACCTAATTGCACATACAATTTGACTTTTGAAGCTTTATTAGACATTTTTATGACCAAAGCATGTGATCAATCGTAGTAATAGTCGCCGAAAGTTCCAACGATGATAAACAGGGCCATTACTTATAAAATTAGTTTATAGCAGTGTCAAAATGATAGGAACCATGAACAAAACTGAAATTCAAAGGCCCTGCGAACTGTAATAATGGATTTCATCAAAAGTTTGTAATAATATAAACCGAATTTAAAAAAATATGTTTAAAAATCCCTTGAAGAGTATTGTCTAATGGAATAGTGTAGTTTATTACAGCGCGGCATGCCACAATGGACTAATAAGTTTGGATAATGAGTTGTTTTGCCTCCTGACAGGGGACTCAATTTATTTGATCCACGTGACGCACATTGTTTATGGTCGGTCCACTTGAATGCAGTGCCTACCAATGTCGCAATCTATCAGCTAAGTGGAACGCAACAATTCGAAACAGAACCTGGCCAAAATAGATTAGATTACGGCCCAGAGGCTACCATGTCTATCGAGATCGTTTCGGCTGTTATCTACTGGCATTCGAGCTTTATCTGGAGTGGGCGTTGAGCGCTGAGCGCATTAATAATTTGAAATTACTAACAATTACCGCCAATCAGTTGGTTTATAAATAAGCCCCCGACAGTCTTTTATTGCATTAAGCGCCTATTACACGCCCTAGGACTCAGTGCACTGTCTTCTGATAACCGTTTTGGATAGGCCAGATTATGGATATTTATGGTTAGACAAATGTCTGGCTGAGATTTCGCCCCGCCTGTCTGGCCATAAAATTATGATTGACTCTCGCTCTCGACTGGCTGATAAAAAGACACGCAGTCTGTGGCCTCAGTTGAACTATTTTTGATAGTTTCGACTTATCACAGACACCAGAAATTTGATTTACAGCGGAGGGAGGTGGTTTTCTTTAAACGGAATCGCGGGATTAAAAGTATTTGTTGATATTTTTAATTGCTTCGTGGAGTCGTGAAACTACAAATGAAGCAATATCTTATGAAGAACAATTGTATCTTTTCTCATATCAATCAGTTGAAATAAACAGAAGTTTTTTTGAAAATAACTCAATCAGCTTACGTGTTTTTAACGTTAATTGTTTCATTATCAGCTGAAGCTAAAGTAACTAAATTGAATATTTGTACCTTTGGGTCATGTGTTCAAGACATTTCTACCTGCTTTCTGAAAATAAATTCCCTAGAAGACACTTGCATGTCAACTTGGAATGGAATTGATTTTACTTTAGCTTACAATAGGAGCACACCCTTGTAATTTGCACAAACGGTTCAAGAATTGATTAACTGCAGCCGGCTGGGATTTGCTGATGGCCATCTGTGGATAAATCAGTGCAAGTTGGTGCTTATCGGTTTTAGGTATGTACATCAGTCTAAGCCATAAATCTGCGCAGACCAGACAATTGCCTTTAAGACGGCCATAAATCTTCGGGGGCAAACTTCACGCAAATGTCTGATTATCGGGTGGCCAATACCCATGGCCTATTCCCATACCCATTCCCATACCCATTCCCATTTTCAATTCCCACTGGTTTATGTCCGCAATTACAGGTTCACTGGGGATTGTACAGATTGTTCGGATTGCAGGCGGTGTTACAGGGCTCATTAAGAAGTCCGTCCGTGAGCCGTAAAAATATTATCGAAGCCCCGTCGGTTGGGTGGGAAATTTTAACTGAACGATTGAACGGTTCAAATGATCCATCACGTGCTCTAACGTCACAAGGCTTTTATTGCGCCATACAGGAGAAATAAACCATTTATAGTTCAATACTAGTGTCAGGCTAATGAAAATCGATGTTTAATGAACGCTTCCATGGCCAATTAAGATAGGTTATCGCTGAAGAAATTACCATTAGGCCAAATGCAAGTTTGAATAATTACGTGAGGAGTGGCCAACGAACTTTTCTGTTCGTAAGGAACACTTATAATGTGCCCAGTTAGCGCTTATCTCTGACAACTTTGATAACCTCATATTGTAAACCCTAAGGGCACTGATAGCAATAAGTGTGTGCCAAAAATGGCTAAGGAATACGGCTAACACGCGCATTATCAACATGATTGCCAACGTGGCGTATGGGTAACGCAGTAGTCTTTCAATTAGTCACTGCGGCAACGGAATTAATTGACAAAGCTAGTAATCGTTTTAGTTTCTCAGGAATGCTTAAGGACACTTCAGATGTAAAACACTACACTTACACTACGTGAACAGTAAAGTTTTACTTAGTAGCTTAGCGGTTACTAAATTTTTTCGCGACCTGCCACCTCAGCGGCGCAGAAAGAACTGTGCGATCGCCTAAGACCTGTTGAGCCCTATGGCCAATTAGAGTGGGGCTAATCTAAACAATACACCAATACACTGGGACAATTGCCAGGGGAGAGAGCTTCATAATCTTTGTGCCTACATTTTTTATCACACGCCCGGAACCACTTTGCGATTGGGGCTTATCGCCGGTGAGAGACGGTAATCGGCGAGTAACCGAAACACAATTATGGCAGTCCAGCAACCTCAGATTGCTGGTCAATTTTCTTGTGGCCGTCCATTCCCCAAGGCATTATCAATGATTGAGTGTAAGCACGAGTTGGCCAACACTCCAACCACCCACGCACACAACTCCATTATCTGATTGACACTATTCGGCCAAGTGGGTCCCTTGTGTTGCAACAATATGACACCCGCTGATATGGCACTGCCACCGATGCAGACTTTACTCAGGCACCGCCAGGTGGTTGGGGGGGTGATCAATCAATCATCGGGCATTGGCAGTCGCACAAAGGTGAATGAGATATTAAGGTCCTGAATGTGGAAAGTGAACTGAGATATGTATTCATTGCATTAATGCATTGCAGCCCTTTTACATTATTGCAACTCAACTTGAAAGTAATCAACGAGTTTTGCTGAATTTCTTAAGCGCCTCTGAGTCGGCATAAATTTATGGGCTGAAACTTCCAAGTATAGTTGAGATCCGAGCCATATTTAAGAGCCGTTGTCTATGTATAATTGCTTTCCCACACTTTACACATAGCTTTAAGCTGAATGTGTAATCCTTTTCCCTGAGCAATCTTCAATAATTCTCCCAGGCTTAAACCTGCTTATCTGCTGTTGCAAGTGCCAGCAGCTGAAAACACCATTCCACCTGAATAATATGCGGGGATTACTTAAAGATTTCCGCAGGATGTGTGAAGGGAAGGCTGAATGGCAACCTTATGTCTGCTCAATTGGTATTAGCTCCAAAGTCAAGTGCTTTGTTTATCAGGCGCGGTCTATGGAAACCGTCCTAAGTACGCCGGTCTTATCACGAGTCACGTGCCCCGGTTGGTATGGCAACGTTTGATTAACGGAGCACATGATTCACTTGAAAATTCACTCTCTATTTTATGGCCCATAAATCTCTGATATTAACCTACTGCTTAGCAATAGCATTTAAGGCTAACTGAGTTTTAGAGCTTAGTCAATAATCACATCAACTATTTATGCGTTTTGAATGACGCGATTTCAGTCAGCGATTAAACAAAGTATAGACATTATAACAAATGAAGTTAAATAACATGATTTGCCCCACTCTGATTTTTATTTTAGTTCAGTTTTGGATTAAACGTTTACCATTTATCGGTTCGTCTGATAATCCCTGATACATTATTTTACAGCCTTACATAAATCGATTTTAATTATATAAAATATTATAATGATAAATTATAATGTTGTGATATTTTGTGCTTAAAGTAGCTTATCATTTATTATCATTTTTCACTAATCATGCAGATTCGAAGGAACTGCATAAGCTGCATAATTAGTATAATTTTGAGCAACCACTCGATGGTATGATGGCCTTCTGGATTTGCACGCGGGTGATAAGCGACCACCTGCCAGTCGTTGGTCATTACAAGGACTTCGGTCCAGTTTTGCTAATTAAAAACTTCCACCTAATGAGCTTAAGCATCTTAATTTATGCTATTTAAATGAGCTCGAATTCGCCTTTTCACACACATGCGCACACACACTGTGGGCAAGGAAACCGCAAATAAATCGCATACAACTTTCAGCTGCAACAACATCATCGTCCTGGTGGCTCGGCTCCTAATGCCACATAATGATCCTGATAATGGCCATCAGTTAGCGAGTGTGTGAGTGAGTGTGTTTGTTGCCAAGGAGAGAGGATGAAAAAGGAATTTAGCTGCCAGCACGTTCAACTTTTCGCTGTTGCACATTAAATGGGGCAGGGACTGGGCCACTGAGTTTTTGGAGTTGCACTATCGGCTAATGTGCGTCACCATTCCGTCTGCTTAGGGCCAAAAAACGCAGTTAGGACCCAAGTGTGTGCACTTACCAAAAATCAACATTATTTACATGCACATATAAATTTGTATTTCTTTACCATCACTTAGGAGTGTTTTTATAACAATAATATAACATAATATTCAGCTTGACAAATGATTTCTAAAAGACAAGTTCATTTTGCAGTACGATTTTGTCTCAGTGACCCAATTTCCCGGCAATTCCCGGACTTCTGCCGACTGCTTTCGGCCATGGCCAATAACTAAGTTGTTGCGTGCGGTACTCTGGATTAGTCTAATGCCAATATGTACGAGATGCAACAAAATAACCGGCGGTGTAAGAGCTTTTTGGCGTGGTTTGCCGCACAAACGTGCAGCCAATTGGATTCTGATGTGTTGGCCAACGCGAAATAGCGCAGATCTGGCCCGTTTTATGTGGCGATTGCAATTGCAGTTCCAGGGCACTCGCCAACTCGTTATCTTTAGTGATTTTCGGGCTCGGGGCTTTATTGCGGGTAAACACATGGCCGGAATGGAATTTCGTGTGTACTATGTGTATTCCTGAGGCGAGTGAATCAGAATTCTAGTAAGGCGGTGGTTTATCGCTGGGTTATCTTTTATGGCCCAGGTTTATCATCGTTTACACTCTTGATTAAACAATTAGGCACTGTGTAGCCTTGATTTATGCCCCACTATAAATGCTGTTTTAAATTCAATCTACGGCTTAGGTACGTTTTAATATTGTTTGCTTATGCTCGGCCATATTCGCATTGTTTTCATTTTTGCTGGCAAGTGTTCTCCTTATAGCTCGTAAAATAAAAACTAATGTTAAATAAATAAGAATGGTCTGAAATGAAATTAAAGAGCCCAAACAAAAACAGAACAATCAGCACGATTACGAACTACCGAAAAAAGAGAACTCCTGTCCATTGCCCCAACCACGCCCCCTTACGCCCACCTCGAGGGGCCTGAAAGTATGCTACGTAAAATTTTACATTAGCAGCAGCCGTGGCAGCAACGTCATTTCGTATTTATTGTACTACCTTTGTCAGCATATCTAACATTTATTTGTTTTTTGTTTCGCCACTCTTTTGGGTGATGTTTAATACTTATTATTTTTTGTAGCTACCGGGGGGGCTTTACTGTTATTGCCTCGCTCCTTTTCTTTTTTTTATTTTTTTTTCTGTTTTTGGTGTTTTGTTTTCCATTCAAGATGAAAAAATCCAATTTTCTGCTTTAAGCATTTTCATAATGCCAAAGCACCCGAAAAAACACGAGCTCTCGAAATTTTACAGTGAAAAGGGTTCAGCTATTGTGGCTTCTCACTTTTGTTCCGCAATAATGCACGTAATTTGTTCCGAAATGAAAATGTGTGAAAATGTTGTAAAAACCAGCGCTAATATGCCGTGCCACATGCGAAATGATATATCGTTTGTGGCTAAAACAATGTTAAGCTTACACAACAATTGCGGACAGTCTAGACAAGGAATTTATTTGTTGCTTGTTGTTTATTTGGAAAATGGTGAAAGGGATAAGTTTTGAACATTTTCCGCGAGCTGTTTAAACAAATGGAAACGGCTAAAAAGTGTGTAAAATGCGTTTCTAGCGATAAATCTTTCTTTTGCGCATAATCTGTTATATATAATTGATATAAATGAATCATTTTTGACTACTTATTTGCCACTCTTATGCAAAAGCCACTCCAATTTTAATGAGATCTTCTGGTGAGAAAGAGGTAACACGACAATTAAGGGCATTGTTACGGGCATTACTCATACGCCGCGTTGTGCGGCATCTCAACCGTAATGCATATCAGTTTGAGTATGTGCAGGGTAAAGGCGGAAAAGTAAACCGATTGAGCACATAAAGCTGCGCTGCGTCATGTCGTGCATAAAAGTCAACTGTTGCGCTTTCCCCGCCCGCTTTTCCCCCTCGTTTCCCCCCCTCCAACTGCTTCAAACAATGGCAAAAATATCATCGCAGTGGCTCCTGTGAGTCTGCCGTGCTTGTCTCAATTTGCTTGGTGCTGCGTGTGCTCAACTATATGATATGATTATTTTTTATTTTCATTTTCATTGTTATGGCCAAGTGTTATGGGCCAGCCTGTTGCTCATATGTATATGCCATGTACTTTGTCTAAATTGAATTATAAAACAGACCAAGGCACATCTTCCGCATACTCTGTATATTATTTTGATTAAACACATATATTTCTGGCCAAATGCTGCCTTGCAATTTTAATAACTATTGAATAAATATCTTGTATAAAGTGAATATTATCTAGCAATATACAAAGTTTTTGAAGTGATAAATTGTAAACTAAAATATGTATAACTTTATTATTACAAAATTGTTATATTCGCAAGTTTTTTTAAGAAACTTTCGCCTTGTAGCTCGACTAAGCTTTGCAATTTCATGGATAGAATTAAATTTCCCCTAGGAATATTTTCCAAAGCAAGCGTCATTGATTTGCGCCAGGTTTTCTTTTGACGACCAAACGCTGGATTTTCCCCAACCCCAATAGCAATTTCCCGCCAGGACACGCGCTTGACAACCTCGGGCCATGCCAAAATATCCTGGAGCCGCCGCCGATACGTTGCCAATTCGCTGTGCATCCCTTTGGCACGAGATCAACAAGGATAACAACAACAGCAACAGCAACAACAACAGACGAGGAAAATTTGGTAAAAGGGAAGAAAAGTTTCGCCACAAGGTCGCCCAGAGGCAAAAGGTTAGTCTATGTACCTATGGGGTTGGCATTTTTTTTCTGAACGCTTCAAAATTGGCTTTATTTGAATTAAATTTTATTTTATTTCATTTCATTCAACATTTTTTTGAGTACGCCACCCTTCGCCTTCAATTGAATTTGACTGCTGTCAATCACGCGCTGCATACGCCTCACTTGGCTGTAAAATTCAAATTTTATGCTAATTTTACGCAGGACGATCAGCGGGTAGCAGGCGTGGCATTGTTCGGTGTCGTCAAAGGGTTAAATGTGTTAAATATTGATTGGCTTA